TTCCCCTGCTGCGTTCTTGCCCATAGATTCTCAATTGGGTTGAGGTCAAGAGAGCTTCTAGGCCAATTTAGAACTCTTAACCCACTCTAAGTCCCTTTTTCCACTTCTTGTCAGTATCACCATACCATTATTTAATCCCTTTTATTCTACTGTGAGCTAAAGGCTGCTCTTTTGTGGCTGTCTTTAAAGAAGTGTAGCATCTTAAAATAATTATCTGCTGAATGATTAAGACCTATGTGCAACACTTAGGTGTATTTATTGGCGAAATGTAGAGTGTTTATAAGAGTGGAGAGAGTAAAAGTTTCTGTCTCTGGTATTATATTAATCCATCACGCTAATTACAAGATTATCAGTCTCGGGCTGAGAGTCTGATCATCTCACACCCAGGGTCATACACTGATTACATCAGAATACATCTCCACTTCGTCTCCCACTAACATTGATGTCTTCAGCAGTGCGAGTCAACTCTGCATTCGACTGAAGCCTACAGTCAGTGAAGATTCCTAAATATTGCACTTGTGTCTTGTTCATCAACTTGTCGATTTTGTCACTGCAGATTATCATTTCCGGTGACCAAGGTCCCAGAACCGTAACGCATCCAGTGAAGATGTAAGTATATGCACATATACCTGGAAAAAAAGAAACACCGAGTGGTCGAAACGTTGTCAGTGTAGGATCTCGTTACACTGCACTTGTGTGTTTACACCGTGTCAACATTTTATATTATTTCTCTCTGTGTACGTGTTATTCCATCCATTTATTGTTTACATACCTTCTACCTCCATTGAGGGTGTCAGGAGCTGTTTCTCGACTACATATTTTAAGTAAGCATATATAGTTTTTTGGAGTTATCTTTTATTAAATTATTATATCGTTGTTTTGCGCCTATATTGGTTATAGAAAGAACACAGCAAATACATTCCTATATGAAAAACATATTTAAACGAAATTCTTCCTCTCCTTGCATGGCGTTCTTTCTTGTCTATGTAATCTTTCTCGTGTATTCTCTTTGAGGCGTTTTGAATGTTAGTTTAATTGTTGTTTAACAGTGGTAAAACGTCTAAATATTTTTTAGGTATAACTCAGATAGATGTGAGATCTAAATTGTTTTGTTTTGGGATAGCGGAAATATTGTATCCATTCTTACGATAAAAACTCAGTGGGTTGTGGCACACTTCTCTAGACAGATAAATAAGCTTTGAAAGTTGTAATAATACTCTCCAGGAGCTTTGTCAAGCTCCTGGAGAGCGAAACGTTGCCACGATAAAATATCACATTTCCTTATGTATTATACTTCATCACACTACTTACTAGTTACCTGTTTGTATGTTTTATGTGAAGTGTTGTGACTGTTGTTGGACCAGACTATCACAAGAACACGTTTTCCTAAATATCACCTGTATACTCTGCTCCTTCCTCTTTGTTTGGGATCTGTTGCCGATAAAAAAACATATGTTACCTTCCTGGGCCATGGGAACTATTGAGGAATTTCCATTTGACAATAATAGGCTATAAAACACATGTAAGACAGATGTTGTATCAAGACAATTGCTACAAAGATGTTTTTTTATATAATATTTGTTTATTTGTGGGTAAAATGTTCGTCAGGAAACAGGATAAGTGCGTCCTGACCTGACCCACAGCTGGAGCTTTTGGTCATCTGACCGAGGCCTTCCGCTGGCTTACCAGTCCACCTCTTTAAAACTCATGTTTTAATAAATTCTTGAATGAGTTTATTTGTGTTAGATGACGGCGTTGATAACCAGTTATTACCATAGCGAGCCGTGTTCCTTCAGTATTACCATAGTAAGCCGTGTTCCTTCAGTATTACCATAGTGACCCGTGTTCCTTCAATATTACCATAGTGACCCGTGTTCCTTCAATATTACCATAGTGAGCCGTGTTCCTTCAATATTACCATAGTAAGCCGTGTTCCTTCAATATTACCATAGTGAGCCGTGTTCCTTCAATATTACCATAGTGACCCGTGTTCCTTCAATATTACCATAGTGAGCCGTGTTCCTTCAATATTACCATAGTGAGCCGTGTTCCTTCAATATTACCATAGCGAGCCGTGTTCCTTCAATATTACCATAGTGAGCCGTGTTCCTTCAATATTACCATAGTAAGCCGTGTTCCTTCAATATTACCATAGCGAGCCGTGTTCCTTCAGTATTACCATAGTAAGCCGTGTTCCTTCAATATTACCATAGCGAGCCGTGTTCCTTCAGTATTACCATAGTAAGCCGTGTTCCTTCAATATTACCATAGTGAGCCGTGTTCCTTCAGTATTACCATAGTAAGCCGTGTTCCTTCAATATTACCATAGTGAGCCGTGTTCCTTCAATATTACCATAGTGAGCCGTGTTCCTTCAATATTACCATAGTAAGCCGTGCTCCTTCAATATTACCATAGTAAGCCGTGTTCCTTCAGTATTACCATAGTGACCCGTGTTCCTTCAATATTACCATAGTAAGCCGTGTTCCTTCAATATTACCATAGTAAGCCGTGTTCCTTCAATATTACCATAGTGACCCGTGTTCCTTCAATATTACCATAGTAAGCCGTGTTCCTTCAATATTACCATAGTAAGCCGTGTTCCTTCAATATTACCATAGTGACCCGTGTTCCTTCAATATTACCATAGTAAGCCGTGTTCCTTCAATATTACCATAGTGAGCCGTGTTCCTTCAATATTACCATAGTAAGCCGTGTTCCTTCAATATTACCATAGTAAGCCGTGTTCCTTTAATATTACCATAGTAAGCCGTGTTCCTTCAATATTACCATAGTAAGCCGTGTTCCTTCAATATTACCATAGTAAGCCGTGTACCTTCAATATTACCATAGTGAGCCGTGTTCCTTCAATATTACCATAGTAAGCCGTGTACCTTCAATATTACCATAGTGAGCCGTGTACCTTCAATATTACCATAGTAAGCCGTGTTCCTTCAATATTACCATAGTAAGCCGTGTTCCTTCAATATTACCATAGTAAGCCATGTTCCTTCAATATTACCATAGTAAGCCGTGTTCCTTCAATATTACCATAGTAAGCCGTGTTCCTTCAATATTACCATAGTAAGCCGTGTACCTTCAATATTACCATAGTAAGCCGTGTTCCTTCAATATTACCATAGTGATCCGTGTTCCTTCAATATTACCATAGTAAGCCGTGTTCCTTCAATATTACCATAGTAAGCCGTGTTCCTTCAATATTACCATAGTGAGCCGTGTTCCTTCAATATTACCATAGTAAGCCGTGTTCCTTCAATATTACCATAGTGACCCGTGTTCCTTCAATATTACCATAGTGAGCCGTGTTCCTTCAATATTACCATAGTGAGCCGTGTTCCTTCAATATTACCATAGTGACCCGTGTTCCTTCAATATTACCATAGTGAGCCGTGTTCCTTCAATATTACCATAGTGACCCGTGTTCCTTCAATATTACCATAGTGAGCCGTGTTCCTTCAATATTACCATAGTGAGCCGTGTTCCTTCAATATTACCATAGTGAGCCGTGTTCCTTCAATATTACCATAGTGACCCGTGTTCCTTCAATATTACCATAGTGAGCCGTGTTCCTTCAATATTACCATAGTGAGCCGTGTTCCTTCAATATTACCATAGTGAGCCGTGTTCCTTCAATATTACCATAGTGAGCCGTGTTCCTTCAATATTACCATAGTAAGCCGTGTTCTTTCAATATCACCATAGTGAGCCGTGTTCCTTCAATATTACCATAGTGAGCCGTGTTCCTTCAATATTACCATAGTAAGCCGTGTTCCTTCAATATTACCATAGTAAGCCGTGTTCTTTCAATATCACCATAGTGAGCCGTGTTCCTTCAATATTACCATAGTGACCCGTGTTCCTTCAATATTACCATAGTAAGCCGTGTTCCTTCAATATTACCATAGTAAGCCGTGTTCCTTCAATATTACCATAGTAAGCCGTGTTCCTTCAATATTACCATAGTGAGCCGTGTTCCTTCAATATTACCATAGTAAGCCGTGTTCCTTCAATATTACCATAGTGAGCCGTGTTCCTTCAATATTACCATAGTGAGCCGTGTTCCTTCAATATTACCATAGTAAGCCGTGTTCCTTCAATATGACGTTACTAACTCACGAATGACTTACACAGTAAAGGAACTAACACTTCCTAATTAGCTACCTTGGCTACGACTTAATATATCAGTCTGGTTCCTTGAATATTAAGCTGACTTCTGCAGAATCTCAAATTACTTAGTAAGAGTAAGATGACAGACACTGTGTGTTTGTGTGTTTATGTCACTCGAACTGAATACATCAAGCTTAATTTTTGCATTTGATATTTAACTTTTACGCGTAAGACGTATTTTCCTGCAGATTTTTTTCTAAATAATTCTTACATATAAGGTGCGCATGAGAGCGTCACGTGTCTCTGGTTGATAGTTTTTTTCATTTTGTTGTATTTCTATCTGTAGTAGATAATCTTTCTTGTCCTTATTTTTTCATATTTCTCTTCAGTCCCTATGTATTAATAGTCTTGTATATTTACTCTCTCTCTCTCTCTCACTCACTTTCATTGTCTATATATTTATATATTTATTTATCTATTTATTTATAATTATTTATCTATATATATATATCTATCTCTCTCTCTGTCTATTAGTCTGTCTATCAGTCTATATCTGTTTATTTCTCTGACTTTTAGTCTGTATGTCAATCTATATCTGTTTGTGTCTTTGTCATTCTGTTTGTCTGTCTGTCTGTCTAATTTAATTATCTATCTGTATCTGTTTATTTATCTGTCAATATCTGTTATCTATCTGTTAGACTTTGCTATCGGCATACGGCATATTTCATCACTACTAAACGATGGTTGTCAAAACAGTTTTGAACAAGACCACAAAAGTATCATGCAACATATGTGAGTGGGTGTGTGGCAACGACCTTGAGCCAAGCTTCATAAGCCGCGGCTTGCTGGAGCCCCTCAGTCCATAGTGTGGCCTTGTTGAGTGCCAACCCTGCCAACCTCCAGTCCTCAAGTCCCAGCCTTGAGTGCTTGTTTTCTCGCCCTATTTCTTTACCGCCCAAGAGCGCCAGGACGAGACTGATCCTTCTCCTCCATCTGCTGCTGGAACTCGGTGCTACCAGAAACAGTCTTCCAACGCCTAGTTCTCGTGCTCAGAGCGATTCATCCTCGTATTTAAGGCATCTAATCCTCACACTCAAGGCATCTGACGGATGGTCAGCGTCCTTACACTCCTTGGATTTAACACAACTTTCCACTGCTTCCACTGTTGAAAAAAACGAAGAAAGCTACGAGTCATGGTAAGTTACAGAGGTTGTTGTGTGTGTTTCAGAAACCTGATATTTTTCATCCATCTCATCATGCCACTCATGCTTTCTTTATTCAAGAATATTCTTTCATGAGAATCTATAAAAAAAGTTGGCTCCGGTGGGAACTGTACAGTAAGTAAAGTACACTGAACCGTAACCTTGTTAAGTTTCTGTATTTTTGAACTTGTAATGACTAGAGTTGTTGTCCTTTGACTTTAAGCTACTCTCTTGACCTCAGTTATTATTGTCGTAACCACAGTGGCTACTTACTACTGTCTTAACCTCAGAAGCTAGTTACTACTATCTTAACCTCAGCAGCTAATTACTACTGTCTTAACCACAGCAGCTAGTTACTACTGTCTTAACCACAGTAGCTAGTTTCTACTGTTATGACCTCAGTAGCTAGTTACTACTGTCTTAACCTCACCAGCAAGTTTCTACCGTCTTGACCTCGGTAGCTAGATACTACTGTCTTAACCTCAGAATCTAGTTACTACTGTCTTAACCTCAGTATCTAGTTACTACTGTCTTAACCTCAGTATTTAGTTATTACTGTCTTAACCTCAGAATCTAGTTACTACTGTCTTAACCTCAGTATCTAGTTACTACTGTCTTAACCTCAGTAGCTAGTTACTACTGTCTTAACCTCAGTAGCTAGTTACTACTATCTTAACCCCAGTAGCTAGTTACTACTGTCTTAACCTCAGTAGCTAGTTACTACTGTCTTAACCTCAGTAGCTAGTTACTACTGTCTTAACCTCAGTAGCTAGTTGCTACTGTCTTAACATCAGTAGCTAGTTGCTACTGTCGTAACCTCAGTAGCTAGTTACTACTGTCTTAACCTCAGTAGCTAGTTACTACTGTCTTAACCTCAGTAGCTAGTTATTACTGTCTTAACCTCAGTAGCTAGTTCCTACTATCTTAACCTCAGTAGCTAGTTACTACTGTCTTAACCTCAGTAGCTAGTTACTACTGTCTTAACCTTAGTAGCTAGTTCCTACTATCTTAACCTCAGTAGCTAGTTACTACTGTCTTAACCTTAGTAGCTAGTTACTACTGTCTTAACCTCAGTAGCTAGTTACTACTGCCTTAACCTCAGTAGCTAGTTACTACTGTCTTAACCTCAGTAGCTAGTTACTACTGTCTTAACCTTAGTAGCTAGTTCCTACTATCTTAACCTCAGTAGCTAGTTACTACTGTCTTAACCTTAGTAGCTAGTTACTACTGTCTTAACCTCAGTAGCTAGTTACTACTGTCTTAACCTCAGTAGCTAGTTACTACTGTCTTAACCTCAGTAGCTAGTTACTACTGTCTTAACCTCAGTAGGTAGTTACTACTGCCTTAACTTAAGTAGCTAGTTACTACTGTCTTAACCTCAGTAGCTAGTTACTACTGTCTTAACCTCAGTAGCTAGTTACTACTGTCTTAACCTTAGTAGCTAGTTACTAACTGTGTCTTAACCTTAGTAGCTAGTTACTACTGTCTTAACCTCAGTAGCTAGTTACTACTGTCTTAACCTTAGTAGCTAGTTACTACTGTCTTAACCTTAGTAGCTAGTTACTACTGTCTTAACCTCAGTAGCTAGTTACTACTGTCTTAACCTCAGTAGCTAGTTACTACTGTCTTAACCTCAGTAGCTAGTTACTACTGTCTTGACTTTAGTTACTACCATCTTCACCTCACTTTCGATATGTTAAGCTTTTTAATAAAATCAAGCAATACTCAAGTTTTGGATAGTCCTAGCGGTAAAATAGTGCATGCGTGTGTTAGAAAATGATCATTTGGCGGGGCGTTGAGCTGTCGAAGGTTCTCCAGGGAGTTTGTTGACACAGCAAATACAAAATATCTGTGTGAAGAAAACGGCGGGCGGCCACACACACACAGAAGCATAAATCACTCTTCCTTGCATGACCTAAACTGAGTAAACCTTCAGGAAAAACGTGCATTCGAGGTTCATTGAAAGATTTTTTTTTCTTTAATGTAAGTATTTAATAGCAGCAGCAAAAGCGCAGTCCTTTTTTTTCCTAGGGGGATTAACATTACAAAATGTTTTACCTCTAGTCTTTTTCTTTTTATGCATTTATTTAGCAAAGTTGAGAGCATCAGCGACGTGCTGCTACACTATTTTGTATTATACTGTAGTTAATATATGGAACAAAAGCTATGTTTCCTGTCATTCCATCGCGTAGGATGGATGTCATGCGTAGCGTTGAATTATGTCAGTGTGAGCTGGGAGACTTCAGTAGGGCCATGAGGATGTCTAGTATTTATCAACTAGATCAAATTCAAGAGATTCTTTCCAGTAGAGCTGCAGTTTCCTAAGTAAAACAGTTGGATATATATGTTAGTTTATTATTGGTTAGTAAGAATCACCTGGCACAGGTCTATACTGTACGATGACCCTCTCAGTTGCAGCAGTGTAAAAACATAATGCTGTGTATATATGATGTAGTATTATGTTATGTGCGGTAGTTACTGGGTCTTGCCCTGGACACGAGCACACACACATAAAGTTATGGAGAAGATTATCAGGAGGAGAACGGTGGAACACCTGGAACGGAACATGAGTATAAATGCCAACCACACGGATTCATGGAAGGCAAATCCTGTATCACAAACCTTCTGGAGTTTTATGATAAAGTAACAGAAGTAAGACACGAGAGAGAGGGGTGGGTTGATTGCATCTTCTTGGACTGCAAGAAGCCCTTTGACACAGTTACTCACAAGAGATTAGTGCAGAAGCTGGAGGATCAGGAATACCTGACAGGGAGGCAACAACGAGTCATGGTACGTGATGAGGTGTCACAATGGGCGCCTGTGACGAGCGGGGTCCCACAGGGGTCGGTCCTAGGACCAGTGCTATTTTTGGTATATGTGAACGACATGATGGAAGGGTTAGACTCAGAAGTGTCCCTGTTCGCAGATGATGTGAAGTTGATGAGGAGAATTAAATCATATGAGGATCAGGCAGGACTTCAAAGAGACCTGGACAGACTGGACACGTGGTCCAGCAACTGGCTTCTCGAATTCAATCCTGCCAAATGCAAAGTCATGAAGATCGGGGAAGGACAAAGAAGACCGCAAACAGAATATAGGCTAGGTAACCAAAGACTGCAAACCTCACTCAAGGAGAAAGATCTTGGGGTGAGTATAACACCGAGCACGTCTCCGGAAGCACACATCAACCTGGTAACTGCTGCAGCATATGAGCGCCTGGCAAACCTGAGAACAGCGTTCCGATACCTTCGTAAGGAATCGTTCAAGACACTGTACACCGTGTACGTCAGGCCCATACTGGAGTATGCAGCACCTGTTTGAAACCCACACCTGGTCAAGCACGTCAAGAAATTAGAAAAAGTGTAAAGGTTTGCAACAAGACTAGTCCCAGAGCTAAGGGGAATGTCCTACGAAGAAAGGTTGAGGGAAATCGGTCTGACGACACTGGTGGACAGGAGGGTCAGGGGAGACATGATAACGACATACAAAATACTGCGTGGAATAGATAAGGTGGACAGAGACAGGATGTTCCAGAGATGCGACACAGAAACAAGTGGTCACATTTAGAAGTTGAAGACTCAGACGAGTCACAGGGATGTTAGGAAGTATTTCTTCAGTGATAGAGTTGTCAGGAAGTGGAATAGTCTAGCAAGTGATGTAGTGGAGGCATAGCTTTAAGACGAGGTATGACAAAGCTCAGGGAGCAGAAACAGAGAGAACCTAGAGGCGGGGCCAGGAGCTGTGTCCCGACCCTTGCAACCACAATTAGGTAAGTACAATTAGGTGAGTACACACACACACACACACACACACACACACACACACCTAGCCAAGCACGTAAAGAAACTAGAGAAAGTGCAAAGGTTTGCAACAAGACTAGTCCCAGAGCTAAGAGGTATGTCCTACGAGGAGAGGTTAAGGGAAATCAACCTGACGACACTGCAGGACAGGAGAGATAGGGGGGACATGATAACGACATACAAAATACTGAGAGGAATTGACAAGGTGGACAAAGACAGGATGTTCCAGAGATTGGACACAGTAACAAGGGGACACAGTTGGAAGCTGAAGACACAGATGAATCACAGGGATGTTAGGAAGTATTTCTTCAGCCACAGAGTAGTCAGTAAGTGGAATAGTTTGGGAAGCGATGTAGTGGAGGCAGGATCCATACATAGCTTTAAGCAGAGGTATGATAAAGCTCACGGCTCAGGGAGAGTGACCTAGTAGCGACAGTGAAGAGGCGGGGCCAGGAGCTCGGACTCGACCCCCGCAACCTCAACTAGGTGAGTACAACTAGGTGAGTACACACACACACACACACACAGCAGATTACTGCAGTGTTGCTCTTGCAATATTAGTTATGTGGGTGAGTGACAACATTGTTGCAGGTTATTTACTTGACTATACTTCAGGTAAGGGACACTCAGACCTCTGCTTGCCAATACATCCAATATTTTAAGTATTAAATACTTTACGTGAAGTGGTGAAGGCTCGATCTTCAATCCAGTAAAGAAGAAGTCAAATAGAATACCTGTAAATTGGAAATGTTAGCATGGCCGACACACTTTGATTCCCAGTTTGTGGGTTACCTACTGATCCGTCTCGCTAGCTATGTTGCAGTTCATAGTAGCAACAGTCTGGTTGACCAAGCACACAGAACGCTGGCTTCAGGTTGGGTTCCTAGGGTACAAGAAACCTTGAAAGCTTTCACGGGTGAATATTAATCGCCAGACACGGTATCAAAGTGAGATATACCAAACTGTAGTGCAAATCTGGCGTGCTAGAGGGTTAACACTCTAGTACACCATTCTAGTACTAGAGTGTTAAGCATGGCTTGCTAGGTGACGTCACAGGTGAGTGTCACTCACGAGGGTAAGTAGGTGAGGTTAGCCATGGAGGGACTGACCACCTCAAACTTAATTTCCGTCAAAACTGAGAGACTGACCACCTTGTATCTACATTTACACAACTCCTGCAGTTTTGTTGATATG